TAAAAGGCTCGAGCGATGCCGAATTCCTAATAAAACGAACGGACGAACTCGTCTTGCACAAGCTAATTCGTCGAAATTCCATCCCGAGCTTCCTGGCTCGCAGTCCTCCTCGTACACACGTGCACACGTACAATCATCACAGCATCGATAACGATTCAAAAGACGTCCGTCTGCACGTCCGTCCGCCTAACTGAATTTAATCGGATGTGTTTAGACTTTTGATAAAATCGATGCCGACAATGTCGCCGCGCGACAACCCACTCCGGAGAAACGGAGCCTCCTCCTCTACGAGGAGTTTTCGTCGCCTCGAACCAAGTAGAGCGAGCGAGCGAGAGAGGGTGAGAGGGAGAGAAGGGGAGAGAGAAACAAGCAGAGTGGAAACAAGAGGAGCAGAAAAGAGGAATCGCAACCCCTCGCCGTCGTATTTATCCGGCTATGTATTTCCTCCGTCTGTCCTGGCTGCTTTCGCCCCGCGAAGCCTTCGTTGAAATAAAACTTCCTCTTCTGCCTCCTCCCACCATTTTCTCACCTTGTCTAGTCTCTTCACTCACTCTCTCTCTCTCTCTCTCTCTCTGGATCTTGTCTACTTTTTCCCAGTTTCACGTTCCTTTTTCTCTCCTTCCGCCAGTCCGTTTCTTTTCCTTTTTTCGTTTCTCAGAGGACAGTTGCGAGGTTGCTCCTTTCCTTTCTCTTTAACGCGTCTTCGTTCCATCTGCTTGTTTACGCCTCGCCGTTTTATTCCGTTTTATCGTCTCGTGCCGAGATGGAATTTGTTTTTTGAAGAGCCAGAGGATCCTTTGATAACGCTTAGTTACGACTAAATAAGAGTAGGTAATTTAATTGGTGAAAACCGCGCCGCCTCCCCCCTCTTCCCCCCACCCCTTCATTGTTGCGCATTTCTAAAGTATATTCCTTCCTGCTGTTTCGGTTTTGAGATGCTGATTAAAAAACTTTTCGCTTAACTAATGACGTTATTATTAACTCCGGCATTCTTTTGTTCGCCCTTCCGCTTTTGTCATTGTTCTTTGTCTTGCTCGCTGCCAAGTTGTTTGTTAGTGTGTATATATATATATATATATATATATAATTCTCCCCTTCCCTTTCTCTCCGCAGCGACCATTTTCCTTTCTCTCTTTTCATTTATTTAACTTTGCGCACAAAAGTTTACAGATTTTACTGCACGACGATTTCGTTCCCCCGTTGGAAAAACTTCCACTTTTCTGTCCAGCGCACTTAATTCCGTGCACTGCCTGATCTTTCAATCGACAAAGCAATAACCGTAGAGAGACGATTTCTTTTCTTTTTTTCTTTTCAGACAATTTCTACGAAAGAGACTGCAAAGGATACACTGACAATCGCGAAATCTGAATAGATGGTTCCTTAAATTTCCATACCACGACTACCATCCATTTATTCGGTCGCTCTTATTACTCAAACTGTCCGCCATATTAAACCAACGCCCCCTCCCCTCTCCCCCCATCTGATTTCTCCGCTACCCATTTCCATACGTTTTACCAGTCATTATTTCAGCCGTTTCTCGCCGGCGTCATATCGTTCCCTGACACACGTTTCTTTCTCCGTCGAAATCTTCCCTAGCCTTCTCCTCCCTCTCGTCGTCCCATCGCCCCTCCCCGCCCCTCTGGCAATGGCGTGACACAAGAGACATCCACGAATTCGTGCCTTGGTGGCGTTGTTAAAAGTTCTCCACGCCAACAGAGTTTCACTCTGTTTCACTTTGAAACTTTTGGATAATAAGCGCGAAACTAGTGCGAACGAGAGAGAGAGAGAGAGTGAGAGAGTAGAAAACAGACGGCGGGGGGGAAAGGCCTCCTCCCCCCGTAGAGGAGGAAAGGGCTGTGTTAAGGGCGGGCGTGCAATCAGGGGAAGGGAGTATCATCTACACCGGCACTTCCTGTCGTCTCGACTATTTTAATTTCTTCTCTCTCTCTCTCTCTCTCTCTCTCTCTCTCTCTCTCTCTCTCT